TGTGGCTTGATATTGAGTAAGAAAAAGGTTTATATAACGCTGTGAGCATGGGTCTGCGGAGAGCATTTCTCCGCGATCCCAACATAGTAGTCCGAAACCCGTTAACCCATTTAAACAGTCGTGGTAGATGCCTTGTTTGTTTTAAACATCATAAATACACAAACAACAATGAATACTTACAGGTTGTGTACCCGAATCTCCCGCTGGTCCAAACAAAGTAGGAACAGTATCGTTCTTCAATGCCCTACGATGTACATATCTGGAATGAATTGCTGAAAGGTTTCGGAAGCTTTCTTTCGTGAAAGGCTGGCAGAGGGTGCGGCCATAGTCCTAAGCGTGGCTACTGGGTATCCCTACGTCACGATACCCAGGAAGAAAATGAGAAATCTCCAACGAGGCGTTTTGCGGAGGTATTTTCTGTGTTAGAGTTGTACTCCCTGCAGGGTGTACTTTGAGGGTTTTTGACTCTGCAGACCGTTTACATGCATAAAAACCTTCAAAACACACAAGGGGACGGGTAATAACCGGAAAAGCATTACAAGGGATCTTTAAGGTACGTTTTTCCTCTTTTCATACTGTCAAATATATATACGGTAATTTCCCAACAGTTTCAACTTACTATTCTGTTGATTAACTTCTATACAAGACACACAAAGCTGCACTACAAGACAAGTGCAGCTTTGTGTGTGAAGTTTGTTTTCAGAGCAGGTGATTTCATGATCTCCACCTCTGCAGCATCCCAACAGAGGCTGTCAGTGGAAAGTGGTAAAGACACTTAGAAGTAAGGTGGGAAAACACACAGGCATCATGGGTAATGATCTTGAACATGGTGTACTTCTCATTTTGTTGACAAATTTAAATGAGAGTACATGTTTATGCATTTTATTATTAGCTGGAGGAAGATGTTGGCTCGAAGCTTCCCACAAACCGCAGCAGCAGCAGTATCCTCCAGCAGGGTGTGGAGAGAAGGTGGGCGTAGGAGGGGTAAAAGAGGTAGAAAACTTCCACCCAGCCTATTCCTCTCTCCCCATCCCACTGCACTCTCACTCCCTCTCCCTCCTTCATTCATTCACACTCCTCTCCCTCTCAGTCTCAGGGCTCCAGGTCGGAGGACTCACGGAGGAATCTGGAAGCGAAGATGCGGGCGGTCGTGGCCGGGGGAGTCGCTGTGCTGTGCGCGCTGCTGGTCGCGGTGCTGCCCGGCTGTGTGTCCGAGCTGATGACGGTGGTGCAGGAGCCACTCAGAGCCGAGTCTTCCCTGCTGAAGCCAAAGGTTATGATCGCCATTGTGGCTCGCAACGCGGCGCACAGCCTGCCACATTACCTGGGCTGCATCGAGAGGCTGGAGTACCCGAAGGAGCGCATAGCGATCTGGTGAGTGACGCAGTTATGCAGTAGTGGGAATATGTTGGATGGAGTTTACCTAATTACTGTCCGACTGTTCTAGTAAAACTTTGTGGTGCTAAGATTTCTGCAAGTTTGTACACTTTTTAAAGTAGTCTCATTTAGAGGTGGAAGATGTACTAAGATATTTATGGGATTAGTTTTGTTCCATAAAGATAAAGCAACACTTTCTCAGAATCAAGCAAAACTAAGAGTTTAAGAGAAAAAAATTAATGTAATTTCCAAAATAAAACTATAAGTTGCAAACAAATCATTTGTGTAATCATGTAAACTATAAGTCTTTTTTCTTTGTTTTATCACATCTTTTTGTTTGCAGTTCTCTTTGTTTCTTTCTCAATGATCAGACTTTTGCTCTCGCTGCAGCTCTTCTCGTTTGCACCTCATTTTTTGTTTTCGATTTTGACACAAACGTCCCAGGTGGGCGGGACTTTCAGGGGTGCGTCCCCATTAGCTACTCAGTTTTTGAGTGACAGCCCACTACACCAAAGATCATACAGTGCAACCCATACACCGCAGCTGCACTGTACAATCGCTGGAGAACTGGGCTGTCACTCAAAAACGCACCCCTGAAAGTCCCGCCCACCTGGGACGTTTGTGTCAGAATTGAAAACAACAAATGAGGGAGCGCAAACGAGAAGAGCTGCAGCGAGAGCAAAAGTCTGATCATTGAGAAAGAAGCAAAGAGAACTGCAAAACAGACATATATAGTTTACATGATTACACAAATGATTACTTTTATTTTTGAAATAAAATGTATTTTGCTTGACTCTGTTTTTTTTCCTCTTAAACTCTTATTTTTGCTTGATTCTGAGAAAGTGTTGCTTTATCTTTATGAAACAAAACTAATCCCATAATAAGGTGACTTAGCTTTAAAGTAAACGTGTACGACATTATGAATTGAGAATTAAGTAAGCTTTCCAGTGTATCGTAGCAACTGCACGTAAAGGATATCAGTTAAGCGCGTGTAGAATTCCCCTAATTGGAAAATGACATCAAGGCCATTAAAGCACCTTTCAATAACCTGAACTTTTGCACAGTTTCTATCCATAAACATATGGCATAGGAAGCATCCTGAATTTGGGGGGGACATTTAAAAAAAAAAAATTGATTTCCTGTATTCAGTGGCGGAGCCAGGACATTTTCAGTGGGGTGGCCAGGATGGAACCAGTGATCATTTTGAGGTGGCATTGAAATCACTCTTATATGAACATAAAAATACATCTCACTAGAAAACAAGGGGTTATTTAAGGCACCTACAACACACATCTACATTATTGGGATTAAGTGGTGGAACAGATCAAATAATATTCGGTATATCAAACTACTTTTTTCGTATTCCCGCAGGCTAAGTAACAACGAAGCTTACATTATACAAATGTAGTGCAATATACAGACTGTTTACCTTATGGTCATCAGCAGCACTGAGCTCATTCTCTCAGTGTATCATCAGGAATACAGAGACACATCATTTAAATAAGAGTTTTTTAATTAAATTATTCGTTAAGAATAAACATCTTAAAGTAAATAACAATAAACAATAGCCCTTAACCCTGTAAGGCCCCCGGTTGTAATTTTAAAACATTTCTTTAAGCTATCCTAAAAAAGTCAGTAAATGTTTTGTTTTTTTAAAAGACTTACATTACTTACATAGTCAAAAGGTCCTTTTGTTCAGCCTCACAATGCTATTGGGTAGGAAATGTGTTTATAGGTCCTGCCCTCTGGCCATACACTCACACAACCAGGGGCGCCGCCAGGGATTTTGGGCCCCATGAAAAGATATCACATTGAGCCCCACCACCAGGCCACGCCAACCAAGCACAATTGCTGTAACCACACCTCCAGAACCCAACTGACTAATGTATGCTTTAAATAACTCTACCTGTACAGGCTTGCATCTATCTTCGAGTCCGCACAATATTTACTGACACTGAGCTGTGAAAATATAACACTGTGCTGACATGCAACATTCTGCTGCAGTATAATTCACTATTTGATATAAGACTAACTTTCCTGACAATAGATCTCAATAGTCATCTTTTATGGTGTAAACGCCTTTTTAATAATAACGTTTTTGAATGGAACATTCTCAACATAAATGCATAAAGCCAAATAAATATAACTTAAATATGTGAAAAAATACTGTTTTTGAAATGTATAATTGAAATTAGATGTTAGCTTTTTGTTTTGATATATATATATATATATATATATTGTATTCCAGTCTACCTTCAGATATGTTAAGTGGCATGTCATTCAACACAATGCTGCTCACCTCCTTCCGTTGGGAGAAAAGCTGGTTCAGGTTCAGCATTATGGGGGGACAGGGCTGCTGAGCCTAAAGATGGATCTGTTGGTCCTGGCACCAGGGGGAGGGACAACTGATTAAGTATGAATAGCTGCTAAAAATGTACCTGCATTTGTTAAATGTCAGCTAAAAGAGCAGTGAAATTAAAAACCTCTGAATTTTCTGTATAGATATTAACAGTACTTGATGTCAGCTTGGTAAAAAAAAACATAACAATTATTATTTACGATGGACTACACTTAGCTAACAGACACATTTCCACCATTCATGGACCACACCCACCGCTTCTTTTGAAAAACTTGGTGACATACTGTCGCCCTTTAGTCCCTCTCCTTTCTTTTCTCTTTTGAAAGCCTGACTTTGTGAGTCGTTGAGACATCGTACACACGTAAGTACTAGCATCCCCTGCTCCTCACATACTCTCACTCTGCTAGAAAAGTGCCGGCGGTGCTGCACCACGTTTGGAGGTGGGACCGAACCATTACATGTAAATAGAAGGGGGTGTACAGAGGCTTTGGATAATTAACTTTTGGAAGAAAAGAAGTTAAATGAATTTTAAGTTTAGTGAGTACATTATCGATATAACGTCCTATTAATGTTACCGTAATTTTCGGACTATAAGCCGCGCCTTTTTCCCTATTTTTCGACGCTGCGGCTTATATAACGGTGCGGCTAATCTATGGATTTTTACAGCTAACGGCCAACACCTTTAACTCTATGGGCTCTATGGCCGGTCCGCGGAC